TATATAATTAATCGTATAATTAATCAGAATAGTCTTTAACCGCCAGGTATGCTTGAACATGCATGTCTAAATATACGGTATATATAGATATGGTCCGTTTGCAAGAAACAAGACCCCCAGTGTCACTGTGAATTCAGCCAGTTATGCTGTGGGCTAGAACGTAAAGGCCATTTAAAGCCTCTAAATGTTTATATTTTGGAAAATTAATTAGGCCAAATGAGCTCTTGGCAGCTCCTGCTTGCAGCGTATCTTGGACGTAGACACAGTTACTATGATATTTAAGGACACTCGGGAACAACAGCTGTCGACTGTGCAGCCAAACGACAACAGCTGCCGTCCCCTTGTCCCTGCACTCACCTGTCCCAGCCACCTCATGCACAGACAGTCTTTGCTTCACGTCTGTCCTTCTGGAAAACCTCTGCACTGCATCTGAACCTTTAACAGGTGGAAATCGCCCTATAGCCCACCCGAACTTTTTCAACCTGTCCAATTAAAGAACGAGCAGCCCACTGCTCACAGGCCAACGAAGACCTACTTAGTTCTTTTATTTCAGTAAAATAGTTTTTGATGAAAACTGGGATGATTCATTTCCGTCTGAGTTCAGCTGGACACTTGTCTCTATCAGAAAGTTGCTCTTACCTTGTGCAGCTGCAGGCCGGGGGGCTCTGACCACATCTGGGGAGCACTCAGGTGAGTCCACAGGAAGTCACATGACTGCACCGCAGTTTAGACCGCATCCAAACATGTAAACCTGAGATGGAGCGGAGGCACAGATTGTTCTCCATGGATCTCAGCACATATTCCCAGATATTTGTTCTGCCTATATGTTCAGCCATGACGAGATGCGTCACCGTTTCTGGTCCACGCTGTCCAGACAGTCCACCTGCGTGTCTACTGCCCCTCGCTTCCCTTCTCTCCTTACCTAAGTAGCGACGCTTGGTTTATGCTCCCGCTGTTTAGAGCCACACTCACACGTTCTAACGCAAAACTACCAGCTCCACGTTTCGTGTTTCGCTCCATCCAACATGTTGCGCCTCCAAACACGCCTGTTCTTATGCACATGAGGCACACACCTGTTGTTGCCTCCTGTTGATTAAAAGGGGCTTTGCAGGAAGAGGTGTGGCTTATCATCTTCACCTGTAAAACAACTGAGGATGCTGACAGGAGAGTGTAGTGCAAGAAATAAACAATGCACATAAATGCATTCAATAACAACATAAAATAAGCAGAAGGAAGGAAATAAAACAGCAGCCAAGCCTGACGACTTCTGTTTATTTATTTATGTAAACAGAATGTAAATAATATTTTCTTTTTGGAGAAAATACTGGAAATGTTATGTTACACAGACCAAGACAGACACTAAAAAGAAGGAGAAATATGGAGGGAGGAGGGATTGGACAGCACAGAACACACAAAGTCAGAGCTCAATAAATAATGCAACAACCTCTCAAACAAGTGCACCACTCTGCTTGTTTTGTTGACAACAGAAACAGCTAGAAAACATGAGTACAGCATGGGCGGCTCCAGGGGGTGGCCTGTCAGGGCACTGGTGCCACCGCTGGCAGAGTCAAAATGTGATGCTCGTCAGTATTAATGAATACAACTAGCATTTCTCTGGTGCTTTTAACTCATATTGGTCAAATTAGTTTTAATTTTATAACACGCATACAGCATCATATTTACATTCATTTGATTGACTGTGCTGCTGTGCAGTACTTGGCATGAATCAGCTCAGTGGGGGGGGACCACTGTGCAGTGATGCCCCCGGACGAGAGCAAATAAGGTGCAAAGCTAATGTTAGCCAAAAAATAAACAAAATAAACAATTTTACTTATGTATAGTTTATTATTTAATAAAACTAAAGATTTAACTGGCTCTTTACTTGTGTTTCCAGCGTGCCACCCATCTCCAAGTCTGTGCTGCAACCTGGCCACCCTATCTAAAATTTTCTAGATCCACCCCTGGAGGACAGAGCCACAAGGAGCCCGGTTAGAATGGAACATGACACAGTGCACCACTGACCCCGTCACACATGACATAGACCATGTACTGTAGTCTGTGTGCGCTAGTTCCCAGCAGCCTCAGTCTGGAGCACAGCTCTGTCCAGGGGCGTCTGAGGCGTCCTATCCAGGCCGTCAGCGCGGGGGTTGTTCAGTGGGCAAACTGTCTGAAATTGATCAACTCATCTATATTCATGCCTGCTGCTTCTTTGAGCCCAAAGTGGCTCCAACAGGACAAGGACAGCAGATGAATAAATCACTGACAATGGCTTCTTTGAACGTAGGCTACTCCTAGTCTTTGTGGCGGAGAGCGCAGAGAAAGATGAAAGAGAAGATCAGGAGGTGAGAGCAGGTTCCATGGTCGATCTGGAGCACAGCCACCACCGTCCCATGCTTTTATTAAATGCTGCGTGATTTGACAGGATGTGATAAAGTGGCAACTGCACTGTCCCTCCCACGGTCCCGGTGACAGCCAGCAGCTCATCACGCTGCCTCTCCTCATTAGACTAACTGTACAGCAGAGTGCAATCAAGCCAAAGGCCCTTCAGATTAGAGCGCAGGCTAACAGCTTAGTGAGCAGCGTGGAGCATCACACATCAGTAACACACCCACATGGTGTCAGGCTGAGCATGTTCACGCACAGCTGATGTGTCTTTCACTATCACTTTCTAGCTTGTAATGAGCATTGATTTACCACAACAAAAAGGCGCTTTGTCAACAGTAGAAAGTTCTTAGGGTTTCTGAGTGAGGGCCAGTTTGGACATCAGAGAAAACAGGCACTGGTGTCAGGACTGGCTGAGCCTAGTCTGTGTTTCAGCAAGAGGCAGAACTTAAATATCAATACAGTGAACTGATTTTTCTTGGAAGTCTTTTGGATAGTGTTGCATTAAACACGTCCTTGCTTCCACATTGCCTTGCACACAGTTAGAGGTTCCTGTTTGTAGTTTAATCACTGATGTACAGAGAATTATTTTGACATTTTAAAAAAAAACCTAAAAATATGATGATTCTCAGCCAAGTTTTGGGAGGTTTGCATGCACCTGTCCCTCGCCTTCATTTGTCCACCCCACTGTCCGTATGTGTCTTTGGACTGCAGGAGGAAATCGACATCAGTGAATGAAAAACTCATGACAGAAAGACCTCAGATTATTAAGAGCAGCATTTTTTTTTTAATCAGTCATGGGGGAGTGCATCCAGTTTGTGGAGCTCAGAATGACTTCTCTGTTTGCTGCAGATGATGTGGTCCTGCTGACTTCATCAGACTATGACCTCCAGCACGCACCAAGTTTGCAGCTGAGCATGAAGTGGTTGGGATGAGAATTAGCACCTCCAAGTCTGAGGCTGTGGTTCTCTGCTGGAAAACAGTGGGTTGCTCCATTCAGGCTGAGAATTGATTGTTGTCCCGAGCAAAGGGCTTTAAGTATCTGAGGGTCTTGTTCACAAATGAGGGTAAAATGGAGATTTGGAAGGCCAGAAGGCAAAGCTCTTAATTTACTGGCCGATCTATGTTCCAACGCTCACCTGTGCTCACAAGCTCTGGGTAGTGACCAAAAGGAGGAGATGGTGAAATGAAGCAGCTGAAAGGAGTTTCCTCTGTAGGGTGTCTGGACTCGGCCTTAGAGACAGGGTGTAAGGTTCAGACATTTACGGTCAGCTCGGAGTAGAACCACTGCTCCTTCATGTTGAAAGAAGCCAGTTGAACTGATTTAGGTATCTGACTACGATGCTTCCTGGATGCCTCCCATTGGAGGTTTTCCAGGCACATCCAACTGGCAGGAGGCCCCGGGGTAGACCCACAACATGCTGGAGGGATTATATATCTCATCTGGCCTGGGAATGCTTCGGGAGCCCCCAGGAGGAGCTGGACAGTGCCGCTGGGGAGATTAAATGTCTGGGCTGCGAACCTGCTGCCCCTGTGACCTGACCCCTGATAAGCACTTGATAATAAATGGATGGATGATTTACCAAGTGCAAATCTGAAGTAGCACCATTCACTGCTGACCATCACAGTACAGTTTGTTTGAGCTGATCAAGTCTCTTCTGCTTCCACCTATTGTCCAAAAATCACATATTAGCTAGTGACAAACTGCCTTTGTGGTCCAGTCACACTGGATGACTTTGTCCTCTTCTTCACAACAGCTCCATCTGACTGTGTGAGTCTGTGTTGCCTCAGGACTGTGTCCATGCCTGTGACAGCCTAAACAAGGTCTCATATGGAAAACATTTAGAGACTGGAACACACTTCATTGCCTATTCATACACTGAATGCACTGAACAAACATGACAGGGAGCGAGGCGATGATAGCACCAATATCTCTGGAAAATAAAAGCATCTCCCCTGCTTCAGTTGCAGCCATCAGCACACCCTCCGCCTCCCGGCCTGTCTCCTGCATGTCATCTCAGATTAATGGCCTGTGGAGAGATGTTTTCCACGGCCTTTCACAGAGTTAATCTCAGCAATGCCATGTTGTCAGCTTGTGTGATGTGGGCCGATTTCCCCTGGGGCGGTCTTGGATCTCACTCTTTTCTTCTCTCCTCCTTCCACTCTGTCAGTTTCTAGAGAGGATGAGAAGATGAGGAGGAACACACGTCCCACCTCCGTCCACCTGTGACTCACATAGTCCTTTAAATGTTTAATAATCTATTTAGAAGTGGAAATTCTCTCAGATTTGTTATGACAAAATGATGTTGGTTGCAGAGGTGCATGCCCTTTAACAACATCCACCTTTAGTATATCGACTGTGCATGACCTTGGACTTAAAAGGTTCTTAACTGTATTTTCACACCTTCGATAATAAAACTAATACACAGAAAATGTAATGTTTATCAAAATAACAGAGAGTGAGTCACCCAGAGACGTTGGAGCCAGAACCTCCTAAGAACTCATTTAAAATTCTTCTTAAGTCTAAATAATCCCAATGGAAGCATAAGAACAGTTTGTTGAAGATGCTGCTCATTTTCCAAGTCAGTGTAGAAAAAAACTAAAATCCCCAGACAAAGTGATAAAAAAGGGCAAATTTATTTAAAGCACTTACATAGAAAAATATGATTGATTTGAGTCAACAATAATAAATAGAGTGCCTGACTGTCCCCAGGCCCTGTCAGTACAACATTACAATCAATAACCAGTTTCACAATACGGCAAAGGCACTAGCATTTACCACAATCAACAACAAGTCAATGGAGGCGGCGCGGGGAGGGAGCAGCGTTCGTCATGACACAGTTCGCACTCACCCCTCACCAAACAGCCGCCACATGCACCGCCGTGTACGCTGGCGCTCCCAGTTCTACCTTACAGTCTCTGGATGTCGCAGTGGCCTTGAATCAGTCTCCTTTAATCCAAATGCAGGTAAGGAAGTAAAGGGACACTGTGGTGGATGAAAACCATTTCAACTGAAATAGAATTAATGAATGAGGAGAGGCAACAGTGTCACATTCCGACATTTCCTTTTAGTAGTGGAGCTGAAACTGTGATGTCACAAACGCTCTGCTCCACCGCTGGGGAGCTTCAGTATCTAGTGAAACATGGGTAGGTCTGGCCAGCAGTCGTTTGTCAGGGGCCACAGAGTTGGTGAGTCACATTTTGATCTGAGAGGCTTTAGACAAAACTGAGACCAGTGACTCAAACTCAGTGGGATTTATCCTCATGGGACCAGGATGATCAGCACTAAATGTCATGGTAACATGGCTGGTGGAGGAGGAGACTCACACCAAGTGAACAACACTAGATTATGAATAGAACAATTAACTAAGGAAGCCTCATGTCTAAGTTACACACTTTCCTTTGGCGACATCATACAGCTCTGCTTTGAATTTTACAGGTCCACTATTTTTTGGGGCAAAAAAATAAAAAAAAAATGGATCCAAAAGGGAATAAATGTAAGTTTTGAAATTGTGGTTTAAAGGCAGCGCCTCCCTGTTGGCGTCACTGGGTCTACATACAATCAGTAGGCAGCAATAAGGTGAGGATAAATAGCAGAAACAGCTGTCAGTATAACACAGTGCAGCACAACCTCACACAGGTAAATCAACAACAGTTTGAACACAACTTGAACATCATCACCTTAGAGAAACCGGAGGGCTGTTGGATTAGACTGAGTCGGGTGTTCCTAATGAACTGGCCACTGAGTGTATGTACTGTAGATCCACAGCACGTCTCCTTTGGATGCTGCACCTCGGTGGAGCAGGTGGAAAGTGGACCTGGAGTTAAACAGCTTAAAAACTTAGATTTGTCAGTTTTGATAACAAATAGTTCTTCAGTACCATAACACAATCTAGCCTTGACTGTAGTGTTTGTGTCCAACCCGACTCAAGTCTAAAGTAGATGTAACAGCACAAAGAAGAAGAACCTAAAAAGCTCCTGAGCCTGGTCGCAGTGTCGCAGTCTCATTTCAAAGCTAACAGCCTTCTGACTAGCTCATTGTAAGGTGTCGTCAGTGTTGGTCACGTGTGTTGGTCCCAATCAATGATCGATTTCTGCTTCTCTCATAGGGATGAATGAAAAACAAAATGAAGTATATTTTCTAACCTGAAGAGAACATGTAGTGCAAATGTTTGCATGCAGGCAGATACATGATCAAGACCGAAGCGAGGATGGCGTTGAGGACGAGCACGAAGCGTGTTGACGACATGCCATATGATGCAGCTGGATCATACTCACACACATAAAGCACATCCCTGAAGCCCACAGAGAATCGGACATATTTCTACTGGGACATGATCAATGTCGTTTTTCAAGAGGTCAGAAAATATAGAAAGGAAAAATAAACTGATTCTCATGTAAAGTTGTAATCAAAACATTGTAAATGCCAATGGTCATTATTCATTGGTTTAGATTTTGACTGGGCAAAAATCATTAAATATCTTACTAAATAAGGCTTAAATTCTTCTCCAGTTCGACTGGCCTCAACATGTAGTCCTCTGCTTTACACTCTGACACGGGTCCCGTCGCTTAGTGTCTTTGAGTTTCATGTCCAGATATCCATGAGGACACACCGGTTCATGTCTTCTGGAAAAAGCCCTGATTGTCAGAATGTATGAAAATGGTTGCAGTGTCTCAGCCTTAAAGCTCGTCCCATCAGTACCCGCTCCGCTGTCCTTTCCAGCCCAGGGAATCCAGCGTCCAGGAACTCTACAGTTTTCATCTCTGCGTGCCATCCACAGCCACCTTCGGGTGGAGTCGACTGGAAAGTTAATACACAGGAGCCCGATAATGTTCGAAGGGGCTGTAAAGCTTTCTTGTCACATTGGCGCGCAGTGGCGCTACGGCTCACGCTGCAGCGTTGTGCACTACAGCTCCTGGAGTTCAGGGGTTGATACACTTCTGGGTTTAGAGGTTCCTCTGGGCGGTCAGGTACTTGAGAGCAGCAGATCCATACTTCCTGGACAGGTCCTGGTGGAACTCGTCCTTCAGGGTGTTCAGACAGTTGCGGTAGCTCGAGCTGGAGCGAAACTTGGAGATGTCGAAGCTGGGAGCGTGGGGCATGTGGATCATGAAAGCGTTGGGGAGCACCATCAGGTCATACTCCTGAAGAGTCGAGACAGATGAGCATGGGAATTATTTTTTCTCATCCCAATAACAAATATTCAGCTTTGGCTCATTATAAATCTTCACAACCACTCTATCATGAATGCTTTCACTCCCACTCCGCTGAAAGGTTATTGGTACCTAGCGTAGCTATGTGGGAGTAACAATTTAAAACACGATTGTATTTCTCATCATCGTCTTCAGGTTCCTGCTGCAGGCAAATAATGAGCTGTCTGCAGAACGCAGTCACTAGTTCTAGTGATCTGCAGTGTGGTGAGATTCACCTTCCTATAACAGCAAACTGGTTTTCATTATTATTTCTCTCTCTCAGGACAACTTCTGTGCTTTGGGTGTCTTCAAACATGTTTTGTGAGAATGTGAGGGAAACAGGCAGCACAGCTGGTACAATCACCGTTGGCTTTCTGCCAGACTGGCTGGTTAAGCTGTGTGTTATATCAGCAAGTACCAGTATAACCCAGTACAAATGAACAGCAGCACAACCTACAGCCTCCATAATGATCACAGCTCTGTGAAACAGTGTGAACACAAAGTGAACACCATCACCTTCATGAAGGAGGGTTTATTGCAGGACTGTAGGGTCAGACTGACTCAGTGTTAGCCAGGTGTTCCTAATAAACTGACCACTCCGTGTTTACTTAACGTTCATACGAGTTAAAGAACCGCAGCACTGACCTGAAGCCATTGTCACTGTCTGCTGCTGCTGTGTTTACTATAAACTTCTGTTGCCATGGTGATACAAAGATGTTCAGGCAGTGAGTCTTCTGTGCACATCAGACCTCTTTAGTTGGAGCTCTGCATTAAACACTATCTGAGGTGCAGGAGACCCAGACATGCTCATAGTGAAGCCTCATGACACAGGCACCTGTCACACTTACAGTATACTGCACAAAGCGCACAGTGTGTGTGTGTATGTGTGTGAGCAAGTCACAGGTACATGTGGAATACCCTCACTGATCTAGTGCTCATCTCTTGAATACTGACTGTTTAAACAGACCCCCCCCCCCCCCCCGGCAGCCTTCACGGTGCAGACGTACCTGTGCATCCAGCTCCATGATGTGGGACACCTTGTTCCAGCCAAAGCCCACAAAGCGCTGGTCGTACTCTGGACAGTCTCGTCTCACCACGACGTACGGTTCAAAGTCCGGCTCCCACTCCACCTTATAGGGTGTGGTGGCTGTCCGCCATTTGGCATAGTTGGTAGGAGCGTGACCTTTGGGCCACACATGATACCTGGGGAGGCAGGAGGAGAAGGTGAGGTTGAAAAGGGTCCAGGATACAAGTGTCTACTTGTTTCTCCCCAGTCCTCCACTGATATGAAAAGTTACCACTCAGTGTCTGTGTGCCATATTCAGGTACCTGAAGGTGTAGAGACTCCCCATGTCCAGCATGGAGAGCAGCTCGGCTTTGGATTTGGGGAAGGATAGACGGTAACGAAGCGTCTCAAACGCTGGAACCACCAGAGCCTTCTTAGTGCGCGCCATTCCCAGCTGCACCACAGACTTCCTGCAGGAGCAAACCGAAGGGAAGAAGCAGCTTTTAAACCAACAGGCACAAACTTGAACCTGACAGCTTTGAAACAGCATTTATAATTATTGACAAGCAAAATGAGCTAAAGTCAGAGGTTTACATACACTTAGGCTGAAGTAATTAAAACAGAGGTCATATTAACAAACTCTCATTTTGGCAAGAAAGTTAGGACATGGACTTTATGCACGACACAAGTAAATTTTCCAACAGCTGTTTACAGATAGATGATTTCACTTATAGTTCACTATATCACAGCTGCAGTGGGTCAGACGTTTAAATAGGTTATGTGGATATACTGAAGCAACATCTCAGAACATCAGTCATGACGTTAAAGCTTGGTCACAATGGGTCTTCCAACTGGACAATGACCCCAAGCAGATTTCCAAAGATGTGGCAACACGGCTTCAGGACAACAAAGCCAAGGTACTGAAGTGGCCATCACAAGGCCCTGACCTCAGTCCTATAGGAAGTTTGTGGGCAGAAGTGAAAAAGCATGTGCGAACAAGGACACCTCCAAACCAGACCCAGTTCCACCAGTTCTGTCAGGAGGAACGGGCTGAAACTCCAGCAGCTTATTGTAAGAAGAGTGAGATGGAAGAAAAAAAAGCGGAAATAAATCTTTGTCTCTAAGATTATTCTGACATTTCAGACACTAACTGGCCTGAGGCAGGGAATGTTTATAGGATTAAATGTCAGGAGCTGTAACAGAATGGGTTTAGATGTGTTTGGCTTAGGTGGATGTAAGCCTCTGACATCAACTGTATATCTGAGTAACCGAGTATGACACAACTTGTGTTACTGCAGCAGCTGCAGAGGTGCCAGAGAAGTGCTCTGAATGTTCATTTCATGTCTCATCCTCAGTTCTGCTCTTGTTAAGCTGTCACACACACTGTCTTCTTTTTAGAGTTTCTCATGTTGTTCAGCCAAGGAGCTCTTGTTACTGCCTGAGGTCAGCATCATGTACAGGCCCGCCCATATTCGAGGGTATGCAGGAACAGCTGTCTGAAAAGCGTGAGCTGCAGTGCAGAGCAGTTACCTGAGGTAATCATAGAGGCCGTACATAGGCAGGAAGTCCACGTCGGTCAGGAACACGTACGGTGTGTTGGCGTTTTTCAGAGCCACGTTCCTCACCAGGTTGACCGGGTAGAACTGGCCTTCCTTGTAGACGATGTGGTAGCCGACGTTCTTGCGGTTCTTGAGGACCTCGGAGGCCTGAGCGTAGCGCAGGAACTGCTGAGCCTCGGCGTCGGACATGTAGAGTGCCAGGCTAATGGGGCCTTCCCAGTGCTTACAGATGGCCTCCAGCATCTGCAGCCTGCACACAGCACAGACGAAGCCCCGCATGTTATGGAGGAAGGCGATGAGGACTGGGGCTGGAACTTGGAAATACTTTAACCAAGTCAATTAACAAAGAATGGCTCTGATTTTTGTATCGATTGTTTAGACAATACAATATCACAAAATGCTGAGAAACAGCCACTGCAGGTTGTCTGAGCTGATGGCTTCAAAGGTCTTTCCCACTAACGGTTAAAAAACCCCAAAGGATATAACACAGAGAGAAATGGTTCACCCTCACATCACAAGAACAAAACTGAGAAGATTTAGGAATTTAGTGATAAACGACTTTGGGGGAAAAACACTATTACCACATTCCTCACCAACCAGTTCACCAACTAATTGCTCTTGTACTAACACGACCTGATGTGATTTACCAAAAATGGCAGAAAATGACAAAAGCCGTTATTGTATTGCATAAACAATCTCACCACAAAGGTCAATTTAGTAACCCCGAGACCTTTGTACCAGTTCACACGGTGAACTGGTACAAAGGTCATGTGAGGCACCTGCCGTGTCAAGCCGTGTTTTTAATCCACCATGGATTGTGAAGCACTTGAAGGACTTCTTAATCTACAACTCCATGACAAACTCTGCTTTGACATACTGCTACTGAATGGACCTTGATCACTGGAGAAAAAGCATCTACAGCAGTGTTTACAGTCAGACACAGACAGTGTGTTGGCTGTACCTGTCCATGGAGAGCTGAGCCACCAGGGTGACATCGGTGTCGTCCTCAGTGGGCGTGTACTCGTACTGCAGGAAGTAGAGGTGCACTCTGTGAACGGTGAGACGCTCCCGACGGAAGTCGTAACACTGGTCGTCCTCGTCCAGCTCCTCCAGAGCCGCCTGCAGCTGAGGACACAGAGGCAACACGACAGCACAGCTCTGAGCGAGGAGCTCTTTCATTGTGGGCTGCTGCTGCACAGACTCCCAGAGCGACTGCATGCTTTCCAAGAAGAGTGTTTTAGAAAATCCTTTGGATAATTGCTTCATACTTTTTATTTTTCCAACAAAGCACACTAAACTCAGACTCCTTGGCAAGTAAGTCCACAAATAGTTCAAATGAGTTGCTAAGCCCTGGTAAAAATCCCTGTTGGCTGTCAGGGTAAGGGGCTAGGAGGTGCACTGTGCCAGTGAGTGTCCCCACAGCTGTGTGTCTTACCTGGACACTCTCTGGACTGGCCTGACTCGGGCAGCCGAACAGCTCCCGCCTCAGCAGGTTTCCATCGTACTCCAAGAAGGTCAAGTAGAGGTTCCGGAAGAACTCCACGTGCTTGTTCTTTACACGGAGCTTCTTGGGAGAGTTCCAGTGGATCACCTGAAGCCACAGCACTCTGCTCAGTTCACACAACATTTCATGTGCACTTTTATCTGACAGTTGTAAATAGATTCTTTGCTGATGCTGATTTTATATGACATACATAAAGTGTGTGGTGTTTAGAGCCAGACATGCATGGGGGCTGTTCTTCCAGGCGTTTGGCTCAGATGTGGTGAGAGTTGTCTGTCGCTTGAAACCCTGACCATCTATTCACACACTACTCATGTGTGCACAGGGTTTACGTCACCTCTAGAAGGCACCATACAGTATAATGCATTCTCTAATCTCTTTACATCTTCAAGTGCACACAACATCATTTATGCTGCTTCTTCTACAGGGAGCATCTGAACATGTCATTTGAGGCACGTGTCCTTAGGTTGGACATCAGGATCCCAAACTGTCTTTAACTATTCATTCTGATGAGTCTGTTTCCAGTCTCTCTGCCAGAGTATCAGGTGTTAAAAATAAACACTGACACACTTTCACTGGAAAATCCAGATATTATTCATAAAGGCCTGGAGCTGGAAAACTCCTGAGGCCTGGTCTTCATCGGCTTTGGAAGGAATTTCCTCTCATGTACTTTTCTCTTGATAAACTTTATTTTAAATATCTCACATTACACCAGCGTTATACTTCTGAGATCAGGAGTATGACCAGGTTTTTTGTCTTGCTGTTTCTTGATAAAGTAAAATAAAAAACTATCTCAAAAATATAAAATCCTATCACAGATTTTAGATCACTTTGGTTTTGATGCCTTTCATTTGCAGAGTTTATTCTGAAGCTGAAACAGGAAGCTGTCAGTAAACAGCTTCCTATTTCAGCTCAGTCCCACTGCGACTGTAAAGACAATTTCTTTAAACTAATCTTCAAAACTGACAAGAGGGTCCGAAGCTCAGACAGTGAATGTCTGTGTGTACATGTGACTCCAGCAGTAATTAAAAGGCTGTGCACACCTCCACAGCTGTTCTCAGTTATATAGCTGATTAGTCTGCTCATGTACATGAGCTCACCACATTGGTAAATGGTCTTATACATGTATAGCGCCTTTCTATGCTTTTACAGCACACTCAAAGCGCTTTCACATTATTCGGCCATTCACCCATTCGCACTCCCAAGCACTCACGCATTCACACACCGGTGACATCACCGGGAGCAACTGGGGGTTCAGTGTCTTGCTCAAGGACACCTCGACATGTTGACTGGACAAGCCGGGAAACGACCCGCTCTACCTCCTGAGCCACAGCCGCCCCCAACATTCACTAATAAGTCCTGTCAGGAGCAGAACATTTACCCATGTGCACTTACTGTCAACTTTACAGCTTGTATATAACCGATCCTGAACGGTATATTGACCTCAGCGTACCTTCAGGTTCATTGTACTGCTACTGTAGGTTACCTGAATGTGAGTACCATTCTAAATGCAGTACTTTTAACCATGATGGTGGCATTCTACTCTGCACTCTTCAGTAGTTCAAGGTGTTGGTGATGTAACAGCGGGATAATGCTAGTGTGTGTCTGAGCAGCAGCTGTGACAGGGAGGAACACACCGATCCCTGACACACCCTCTCGCTGTCAGCGTGTCTGGGCTCTCTATGGGCGTGCGCGTGTGAGCGTACCTTGAGGTCGGACACCTCGGTGTAGCACTGCTCGGAGCGAGTGTGGTCAGACAGCTGGACGTTCCAGAAGCAGGGCAGCTGGTGCACCAGGACCGGGTTCTGCTTGATGAAGGCATTGAAGATGTCCTGTGCACAGTGGACACACAACACACGGCTTTAACAAGCACATCCTCCGACTCTGCTGGGTTTCCTTTGACTCTGCATGGCCTCTCCTCAGGACACAGGACACATCAGACTGCGAGGTTAGCTGAGCACAGTACCACTATCACGCCACTGCGTCGCCTCTCGGTGTGATGGTTTTCTGCTATTTGCTATAAAGATGTCTGGCAATGCCAGGATATCTTTGTACCATGTCAGTATGTTGTGTAGCCGTCGGAGTCACTGACCTGGTCAGCCAGCGATGTACTGAGCATGCTCATGAGCTCCCTCTCTGCTGTCAGCCGCCACATCTGCTCCCAGCTGATTCTCCGCAGCCGCTCCAAGTAGAGAAGAATGACGCCTGCAAGACACCACAAGAAGTCAGCTAACCTCAGCTCTGAACCACAGGAGCTTCAAATAAAACTGGACTTGGTGTCTCCAGTCAGATCAATGAGTCCAGTATGTGAAACCGTCCTCCAGTCAGCCGCCCTGCAGCACCGGAGACACATGCCGTCTCATGCGTTGTTTGTCCTGCTTCCATCTTTATCAGCTTCACTCAGTTACCTGTGTTGAAGCCTCGTCCCAGCGCGGGCCAGGGTTTGTGGTTTTTCCACAGGTTCCCCAGGTACCAGTCACTCTGGTTCTCCACCAGACCGATCACCTGCTTATCTGCAACAGACCAACCGACACCAGTCGGGAGAAAAAACAGTCCACATGTAAGTTCATGGATTATTTTATACATTTAGCCATCAAAGTTCTGTTCAGAGCTCATTCAGAGACCCATGCAGCCTTGGTACAAAAATCTGCTGCCTAGATTTGTCATTAGAAAAAAAGATATGAGGATCTTACCGGTAAATTTCCTAAAAATGCCCCAGAGCTCAGCGATGTCAGTGGCGAAGGTGATGTCCGTGTCCAGGACGATGACCTTTGACAGGTCAGAGGGCAAAGCTTTGGTCAGCGTCAGCTTCATCAAGCCGTAAATACCTGAGTAGTGCTTGTTGGGGATCCACGAGACCTCGGACTGAAATGAGAGAAGAAAACACATTCACTGGTGTTGGAAATTTCTAGGCGGCTTCATTTCTGAAACCATCGCTGTGCCAACTCATGGATCCGCTGGAGCAGCACGCTGTACGAGGGTTAGCACAAAGCAGCATTCAGCAGCACCATGTGTTTCTTCTGAATCTGCAAACAGTGTCTTTTAATTAATTTTCATGATTCAGAGTAATTGGATCTGCATAAGTGCATCATCTGCACATATAATCGGCTTAGAGTCTCGACTGTTCTTCTACAGTTTAATGTGAGTTAATGGAAAGTGAAGAGGGAGGCGGCCGGTCGACGTGTCAGACGGCACAAAGGACTCATTGTTCAGGAGCGTGAGTGTGGAGAATGTGATGGGGTGACGGAGGCAGATGCAGGTTGGAGACACACAGACGCACACACGCTTATTCATGCTCATTCCTCACATTCCCGTCACTCTGAGGGCACACTCATCAACTCGATGTTGATTATTTGGTGTTTTTGTGCTGAAGTGTCACTCGACCTTGGCAGAAAAGTGTTTCACCAGCTCGTCCACATTAGATACCTGCCGCCCAGTGAAAACCTTTCCAACACCCACTGTGGTGACTGTGGTGCTTTATTTTTAAGGAGCAACTCAGAATCTGTGAGATAAATTCTTAAGTGCCATGTGGTAAAGAAGGTAACACAGAAGGTCACCAGATACACGTTTTCCTCAGAAAACTGCAGGAAGTGAAATTTACTGTGGCCAGCTAAGAACCTTGTATCTCCAAAATGTTACAGAATAAAGAGCGCTGCTTGAATTGTGCAGTTTGCTAAGGTCTTCTTTGTGTGTATGTGTGTTTTAAAGTGCAACTACAGTGCTCTGGTAAACGAAGGCCAGTCTGATTTTCTGAGTATCAGGTTGAATAATTTAATGCATTTCAATTCAGAATCATTTCTGGTAAAATTCTGAGAGAAAAAGAAAACCCAGACAGGCTGCTACAGTCCTGTTGTTTATCTGCAAACATGGCATTTACCAGAGCTGGACACATGAGGCCATAGCCTGTGTTTAATGTAGATCAGTCACATTTTGCCAGTGGACAGTGCACGTCTCATACAAACACACACAGTGATGTTACTCCAGAGGCTGTGGAGTGGTTGTGTTGCACTATATCACATAACCTGAAAAGTGCCTCTGATCGATTAGAAACAACAGACATTAGTTTGATGCTGCTGACTTCCAGGTGAAGGTATCCACTGGAAAACCAGGCTTCGTCAATCGCTGGGACTGTGACGTATGATCGGACAGACGTGAAGACACAGGCTGCGACCTCCCTGTTGTACTGATATCTCACACTGTGATGCTCTGTAGACCTGCTCTGAGATGAGGATTTGCATGATGTTTTTGATGAGGTGTGTTTTCACGGCATCCTCTTACCTTGAGTTCATCTGCATCATAGAAGCTAACTTGCACTGACGGGACCATCCAGGACTGGAACAGAGAACTCAGGATCTGGTTGGCTACTGTGTCCGTAATGAAGTGAAAGTGGAGAGGATTCCTCCTGTGAAATGGAGAAACAGTAGGTTATATTCCACCAACACTGCTCCTTCTCTAGTGAATGCAAGCTGATCTGGTTTGGCAGTTTAATGTCCTGGTCCAGGGTTTAGGCAGGTCTGGTCTAAAATCATGTGTGCTCGTTTAGCACCAGGAAACTCTGGTGACCAACTCAGATCATCTACCAGCTGCTGGACATATTGGCCGAGCTGCACGAACAGCTGAAACATGGGGGCCAAAATCAGAAAGGTGTGTTTAAGGGTCATCCTTTTCTTTTGTCCAGATTTTCCCTCAAAACAAGATTTGTACTGTGTTGGTCAGAACAAGTAAAAGTCACAATTCAAGCTTTAACGTGTGGCTTTAAATGCCAGTGTTTTAAACCAGGGGTCCCCAACCCCCGGTCCGTGGATCATTTGGTACCGGGCCGGAAAAAAAAAAAAAAACGTGGTTAAAATTACAGTTATTTTTCCTTCATTAGTCTTAGTTTGAAAAACGACCGTTTCCGCCCTTGCCTCACTACTGCACTTGACTCTGGCATGCCATTTTATGCATCAGCGACACAAGCTAACCCTTTATAAAACAAAATTTACTGGAGAGCTTTTTCGGGAAGGAACGAGCAAACGATGGGACAGCAGAGTGGTCACAGACTGCCAGCAAAAAGAAAGCTGCATTTAAAAGAAAATACCACAATTCCTACCTAAGTTACGGGTTCATCGCAACACGTGATACACAAGCTCCACACCTGCTATGCATAATTTGCCGTGACCGACTGGCTAATAAGGCCATGAAACCCTCAAAAATGCTCTGCCACATTGAGACAAAACACCCTGCGTTAAAAGACAAGCCCTTGCAATTTTTTCTTCTAGATGCAGGGAAACAAGCCCAGGGCTCCCACTGACTCTGCACTATGGTGAGTTGATATTATAGTGTGGAATTATTGTAATTGCCTAATATAAAGTGTAATTGTTGCATTCAGATTACATACTATGAACTGACAAAGGTTTTTGTTATTGGAACCCCCGCGCCTCTACCCGGTCCACGGAAAAATTTTCATGCATGAAACCGGTCCCTGGAACAAAAAAGGTTGGGGACTGCTGTTTTAAACCTTCCTTCTAATGTTGCTATTGACCAATGCCGAGACCAAAACCAACCCTGAGCGTCTCCTCTATCATGTCCTCATCTCCCTCCTCCCTCTGGGCCACAGAGCTCCACTGGTCCAGACACCAGTAAACCCACCAGTAGCCACACTGCTGTGCTGGCTGACACGTTCCTCATCATGAACACACACTGGAGGTGATTCGGACTCACACACACCGTCCTGCTGCCACAGACACTAGAGACCAAATATGGATTCACTACTTTCCTCCTGCGTGTTTGATATGAACTACCGTGAACAGTGTTTAAGGAAATGACTGAGCGGTTTATAATTAAACTACATGTTTGTGCGGTGTTTCAAATATTTAATGGAGCTGAAAAGTACCAACAGACAGACAAACACATCTTTGGTTTGGCTCTGCATGTGGGGGTTGTTGGCAGTAAGAAATACATCAAAATAACATCAGATGTATTTTCAAAGGAAACTCTTTAAAATGTCCTTTAGACCCCTGCGATTAAGTCAGCCACAGAGAGAGCAAACAAACCCCTCATTAGTGGAAAGCAGCGCCGTGTCGCGTTTCGCTGACATGAATCTTTTTCACATCTGGACAAAAAGATGGAACATTTTCAGTTTTTAATCTGAGAGATCACAAAAACTCGTTTCAAGATTTTTCTTTACAGACACGTTACTTTGCTCTTTAGTGTACGACCTTCACAGTTACAGGCAAACACCCTCACACGGCTTTGGCCACCAATAAACTAACAACCAGGGGGCTCATCCAGAACTGTTGAGAGCTCTTCCAAAACCACCACTTAGACTTCCATTTGCAGCATACTTGCAAACATTACTAGTGAAATACACCCCACATTCCCATTTAATTCACCATCAGATCAGCAGCACAACAAACAAAACAAACAATCTGAATGGAGCTGACTGAAAAGAGCTGAAATCTTCTTAACGTTTAAATCCACTGAGTCATGAGCTGTAACAACAGACAAACAGGACAGGACAACACATTATTATTGCTATAAAAGCAATAATATGTAGAATAATGTGCCACTATTGACCACCTTTACACTTAGCTGTAATGATAAAAGAGCAGGAAGGAAGGAAGTCAGGAAACACTTTCTGCTCAAGTGAACATTGACACAGTTGAGAAATGGAAACAGTGGAGAGAAGTGCACGACCTCTACCTTTCATCAAAGGTAGTGCCTTCATTTGCAAAATCATTCTATCTCAACGCACTTTCCAGACTGTTTTTATTAAAGGATTTTCAAGGTACACATCCAGGTTGCAGCCATGTCAAAGTCCTCTTCAAAGAATAAAAAAAAAAAAACTGAATAAATTCATCAACTGAGGGACGGACACACTGTGATGTGGGAGCAGACTCACCTGTGAAAGAGGACGGACTTGACCAGCGTGACCACGTCTCTGCTGGCGTTGTGACCGGCACAGACGCACGCTACGTGGATCAGCTGCAGACACAGGAAACAGGAGAGTCACAGCTCGAGGTTTAAACAACAGCAGAGTCTCAGTGAGAGGCAGCCAGGAGTGTGTTCAGTTCACCTGTCTGTTACACATCACAGGTTCACAGCATCCTCCCACAAATCTCTGTCTGTTTTAGCAGTTTGGAAGACAACATGTGACCTGGGCGATTAATCTCAACACCTGAGTTGTGAATTTTTGCACAGTGTCATCAGTTTTCTCCTCAAGAATCAGAGCTCTGATGCCAAGAAGCTAAAAAAAAACTAAATCTCCATTTCTGGGTTTGTGAGACGACTTTACACCCACTCCGCTCTCTGATGTGAATTTTCATACTTAGCTTCTCAAATATGTATGATTTCATGTCACTTGCTTTTCAGCAGCAAAAGGCTTTGAAAAGTTGGAGCTCAAAGGCTGCAAACAACTTCAAAGAGCAAGTGTGTTCCCTCAGATTTCAGTCCCTGTCAACCTCCTTCAGCTCGGTTCATCGATTAGTGCATGTGAACTGCTGTGATGGTAGTTTTACAGATAAACCTTCTTACACACTTATTTATTTAAACCTACACAATGTCACATTGTTCTGTCAGGTCAGCAGCTACACTCTGTAGCACCTTGCTTACTATTACTCTATTTAGTTAAGTAGGTTTGGAAGGCAAAATATGAAGTTGCAAAGGTTGTTTAAATATTTTCTTTGCATGGACTGATGCTTCACAGACATCTGAACAAGGCGTTTTGTCTCCACTGTATCTGTATCTCTATGCTTTGTGTCTGGCCTATGGTTCTAGGAAGAAGGGGTGATATTTTTGCTGCTAATGAGTCGCACAGATGTGCGGGGTTGATCAGCTGCTGTTGTGTTTCATGTCCTGACCTCACACTTCTGGACGGCAGGCGACCGGGGACACTCTGTGCGGTTGCTCTTCTCCTCTGCTGTGTTGTCCCCGTCCTCTGGTCCTGTGTCCGCAGATGCTCCCCACTGCTGGTTGCCATAGTTACCCTCCGGCAGTTGGGCAGCGGTGCCCTGCGACTGGCTGAGCTGCAACCGGATCTGCCGGTTCTCCTCCTCCACCTCTCGAACGCGTGACTCGAGTACGGCTCGCTCCAGGACCCGAGACGCCGGGGTGTCGGCCAGACAGGGAGCCAAGAGGAGGGAGCGGCCGTCTGAGGAGGGAAACGGAAGTTTAATATGATCTGCGGTGTGCCTACAAGACCAACGTTTACCTGCTAAAGCTTCGCACTGTTTGTTTACAGTCCAGTCTGTCACAAGCTAAGAGCTAAAAGACATCTTCAGATTCTTTACTTAAAGGACGTGGAGGGTTTCACCACTGGTGGCGCTATGAAGCAGTGATTTCATGACCAGGTCCCCCTGTTTGTATCTTGTGCGGTGCAGCCACATTCACAAGGACACACATGTCCAGCGTGAGCTGTGTGCAAAGAAATGCAGCAATAGGCAGACAACAGCAGCACATACAACACAACACGTCTAAACTAGAAATGTATGCCTCTGCCAACCAGCCAGAGCCACAGGACAAACATGAGGATACAGCAACCACTGACCATCAAAATCAAATCAGTTCATCCTTGAGTACAAGCGGAAACTTGAGGCATATCTGAAGATTGCGATGAAGCCTTCCTGAGATTTCATGTTCATAACAATGGGTCGGACAGACGGACCCAAAAACATCACTGCTCTGAGCACAACTGTCAAAATCAGGCTTTATAATAGCTTAATGAGAAAAGAAAGACTGTTAACATCGTCTAAATAATACACTTTAAAAAGTACACATGAATATGTTTGCAAGAAAACTGAAAATTATAAACAACACTACTGGATCAGTATTAGTGATGCTTTAATATGTAAGAAGTACTTTTAGCCAGTGGCACGATTCCGTGGTCCAGACTGAAATGTCTCGACATCTATTGGCCAGACTGACATTAACTTAATTTGTCCAATTCTTACCTGGAAAACCAGCGACATTCCCATCAGTCTCAGCTGGACTTTATCGCACCAACTAACAAGCTGGTTAGCATGGTAAACACTGTTAGCATGCTGATGTTAGCATTTAACCCTGTGCAGCCTGTGGAGCTGTCACCATAAAGTTTAGTTTAGCTACTAGATTAAAATACTTGTGAATATTTAATCTATGATCTGATCCTATGTAACATCTGCAAAGCAACAACTGTCAAATAAATGTAGTGGAGTAATAAGTAGAATATTTGCAACCTTAAAGACATGACGGCACTGATGATCAACGGAAACCCAGACAGCAACAGAGGGCAGCATCAATATTTACAGCCATACTGTTGCAAAGTAGGTTGCTAACAAGCCAAACCATCTAAGTAAACCAACACCACCATCCCGGAGGAGACATTGCACACAGTGCAGTCATGGGTTTCTAGTTTATGGTACAAATATGCTGAGAAGCTGTGAGCAACATGTTCCCCTGAGTCTCACAGCTGAAAATGGGCTCATCACACTACTTCTTCTGTTTTCTCCACCTTCCTCCCTCTGTCACTCTTTTCTAACAGTCTGGGGTATGAACAGTCCCAGGCTGCCTCAGGGCATGTTTGGGGTTCATTACTAGTAAAGAGATGAGCCTCAGAGAAGATGCCTCTGACTTTTCATTTCACTGAGCTCTCATTTAAAACTGACTGATGCCGACTTTAATTATGGAGGGAATTCAATTTTAAATCCAGTCCTCTCACCTCAGACTGAGCTCCTGCAGTCCACATAGGACATAAATTGATTCAGCAAAATGTATCATTTTGTCATTTTTTCCATGCCTGATTTGTATACACAGTATATGGCTCCAAGTATGAACAGAGGCCAGTTTCACAAATAATTTGACTGTGGCATTGACCTAACCAATAGAATTCAGAGAGAGCTCTAAGGGTAAATCTGAATTCTTGTTTGATTTCTCCTTGCTCGACCCAGATGTCGTTCCGGTCCACTTGTCTTGAAAGACGTCCCAGAGCTGTTAATTCCTGCTCTGAGGAGCGAGAAGGCTTCTGGAGGAGCCATGAGGATACATGAGAGCATCCTTCATGAAGTCCTTTATGAACCGACACACCCCTTTATCGGAAATTAGATTGTAACTGGATGCTTCAGATGAAGGATGTCACTTGTCCCTAAAAGCGGGTTTCTTCTATTCTTCTCTCCACATTTTACATGAGGGGACTAAGACACAAGGAAAAGAGAACTGAGGGAAACAGATGCACTTCATGGAATCAGGATTCACGCAAGAGTATCTGTTGCACAAAATTATTGAGTTATGGACCATCTGAAGTAGGACTAATTGCTATGAATTCTGGGTAAATTAAGACTTTTAAAACATAGCTGCTCACATGTTTCTTGTGTCTTAGTCCTGCCCAGGAAAGATCCCAGGAGAAAATGTGAGGAGAGAGGAATCTAGAATACTGGTTTTTAGAGACATAAGACATTCTTTCCTTCAATCCTTCGTCTGAAGCATCATTTCCCATAAAGGGACGTGTCGGTCCACATTAGACTTCTGCTAAGGACAGATCCTCACTCATGTCTCCTCCAGGCAGCCTCCTCACTCCTCAGAGCAGGGAGAAGAGTCCTCAATCCTCTCTCAACTGAAATGACTCCCAGGTCAAACGAGGACTGAGGAAGGGTCATATAAGAGATGAGGGATGTACCCTCATCTCTCAATGCCTCTCC